GGGTGGGGGAAAGGAAAGGGGGTGAGGCACCAATGAATACCAAAATGATACCACTGATGAGAGTTTTGTTGGATGACATTTGTTGTCGGTGCTCAATCACAGTACCTGTTGTATTCTGATGTTTAGCTTTTCAAAAACAATATATCTTGTTGAAGAAGATGTACAAAAATACAAAGATTTTTTTCCACAGCAAATTCTGAGCTACTTTTACCAAAAATAAGAAGAAGAAGAAAAAAAAAAAAGAAACTCAAAAACAAGAAGTAAAATAGAAAAAAAAGTAAAAATTGACATTTTTCACGAGAAATTTTGAAAAAATCAAGGACTTTGCTGTTCTTTCTGAAATTCAAATCTTTAACAACAATTTATCATTGATTTTTACCAAAACTTAAAATCACCTAAACTTCTTTTTTTCTTCAGATTTTTTTTTTTGTTAGTTGCTTTAACTAAAAGTCATCAGCATAAATCTTAAACAAATTTAAAAGCTGTTAAAGTTTTTGAAAAATGAAATTTTTTTTTTTCACTGCAGAAGGCTTATTGAAAGATATGAATTTTTTTGTTAAACTGTTGGTTGAGTAATGCTTTTAGTTGGTTGAGCGATAAACATCCAAAAATATTCGCAATATTTGGCCACTTTTTATTCTAAAAATACTTTGTTGTAATTTTTACCTGTTGACCAGCGAAACATCTGTGAAGTGCATAGCAGATGACATAATGCCATCAAAATAAATTGCTTCAAAAGTGCATTGGCAGTCCAATCAAATAAAATTGTGACAACAATGTTGTTTTTTTTTTTTTTTTAACTTAAAACTTATATTTTTTATTTTATTTATTTGTTAAATAGCAGAAGTTTTCTCAGATTCAGTCTTTTTTTGCTTGTTGTTGTTGTTGTTGTTGTTGTTTTTAACGTGAATTGTATCTTATGAGTAGAGCAATTTATTGAAATTTGGTGAAATTGACACTGGAAATGCTGTAAGCATTAAAAAATTAAACATGACTTTTTTTGAGTCATAAAGTTGCTCAATTGTTTGCCTTTATTATCTTCTTTTACTTTATCTTCGTCTTCTTTTTCTTCTTCTTCATCCCCTTTTTTTTCCTCTTCAGTTTTTTTTTTCTCTATTTTTTTCTACTAGTTTAAATTATCGCTTTGTTTTTTAGCAATACCCACTAATTTTGTTTTATATTGGTTTATGGCGCATTAGGCGTGACGGCCAATTGTCTACAAATGCGATTTGGGGGATACCTCAAAAATTTTGGTTTCGCTCGTGTTAACCTCAAATGTTCAAAGCTTTTCATTCGGCAGTATTTTTGCTCAGTTTGTATTCTTCTTCTTTGTAATTTTTGTCTCACGAAAGTAAAAGACTGTGTGCAAAACTGAATCTTTCTAGATGAGGCATCCAAAAATTTGTTCAATTTTTTTCTAAAGCTCAATAATTCTTTTTTTTTTTTCTTTGATAATTTGCATTTAACACGGAATCAGCTGAATGATAATTAAGACATCAACCAAACTGTATCATAATTTGCTAGATTGAATTCAAATAGTTCATTTGACACTTTATTTACCTGTCTCTGAATAAAACATATTTTTTTTGCTATAAAGCACACCAATAAACAATTGTTTTACATTACCGTTACACTTAACCTGAACAGTTTAAAACTGTTCATATGTAAGCCTTTTAGGCAAAAAAAAAAAAAAAACATTTATTTTTTTCTTTCAATTATTATTTAAATCTTCATTGTTTGGAAGAAAAGAACAAACGTTTGCTAGTAAAATTTGAATATTATCTTTACATTGTTCGCTAACTTTTTTTTTTTTTTTTTTTTTGAATACCACTAGTTCACAATAAGCAGAACAATAGCTGGTATGCTGTCAACAAATGTTTTTTCAGGTGAACAGCTTTTACAGATTATTTAGCAGATGGCCACTGAAGCTTCAGGTACTTACTTAGGTTTTTTACGGCTGTAGTAATCGCATCATATCTACAGAGGTTCTTTATTTTTTTTTTCACAGACGATGCTTTCAACCAAAGTGTTGGTTAGTGAATTGCTATGGGAGACTGAGAAGACTTATGCACACTTATGACCCTCCTACAAAAATTTTTCTGAAGTATGTATAAAAGAAATTTCTCAGTAATCATATTTGGAGCGTAGCTTCAGTTATTTGAATTATTTACACAAAGTGATTGAACAACAGCAAAACAGTTAGTAATTCCAATATCTTAAAGTTATTTTCGTCTTCTGTACTTTATTACATAAATCTTTTGTCGCACACGAAGATAGTAGATCAAATTCAGTTAAGAGTTCCTAACATAGAATTGTTTTCATCAAATACTCTGTAGAATGCAAACAGTTTTTATAGTTTAGATCTAAGGCGAGAAAAAAAAAAGAAACAAAAATTTTGTAAAATTTCTAAATAGTCGATTAATTTGCTGTTCGCTGCGGAAACAAATAATTTTATAAAAACCGATGTAAAATAGACTAATTGTTTAACTATGTGTAAATATAACACTGCTTCATCGGCTTAAACAAGTACCGTAGCAAAAATTAAAAGTTTATTTCAATTAAAATTTATCATGTTGTTAATTTTTCTGCTTATTAAGGTTTGTTTAAAACTGAGGTGTAAATTTAGAGAGTTAAATAAACGGTGTAAACTTTTTTCAATAAAAAGTTAAAGTTTTTTTGTTGCTTCAGATGTCAAGAATAGAAAAATTTGCTTTTTTCTGACAGTGATAAACGCAAAATTCTTTTGTGGCACGGAATCACTAAATCAAATCGAAATAAAATTAATCTATTGTCTAAAATTATTCAATGTTATGCTGTTCTGTTTTATCAAACTATTGCCACTTCTTCTAAAGAAATCAAAGGTGGCAACAGTTTTAAAGTGAACTCGAGTTATCGTCTACACAGTGAGAGAAGAAAATTATTTGGAGGAGTAATCTTCAAGTTTTCCTGACAAAAGCATAAAATCATCATAATTATCACTTTTTTACTATTCCTTCTTTTTTATTTGTTGATCCTTCTTAAATTTTGTAAAATCTTGTTCATTCCCGTTGAGCAATGAACGATAAAACCGTGTTTGGAAAACTGTTGCGTGCATATTTTTGTTGTTGGTCGACAACAGTTCCATTCAAATTGAGTTGATAAATCAGATTTGCTGCCGTCTTTTAGTTTTGGCTTAATGCCACCACGACTTAGTTGTTCGGTTAGTCCATAGTGGCACGCAGAACCTATATTGAATATAGGATCGTTTTATTCTAACACCTTAAGCCAACAGAATTATAGCAACAGAAGTGGAAGGAAAATTGATACAAATTAGGGTCGCTGAGTGAATACCACGGCTTCTGTTTGACAGGTTTAATGCAGAAACACTGCTGCAAATTTTTTTTCGCGAGCGTTTTTTAATTTGGAATTGAAGTTTTCCAGATACGTTATAACTTTTTTGATTTTTATAGAAGAAATTGAGCATTTGTATATCTGATTGTGAACATTTTTGAATACTGTTAAACGCTTATAGAATATGCACTGTGGACAGATCACCAGTTTCGTTTCTTAGATGGAATACCCAAAAATTTATTGTCGAATTCTGCAAAATAATCGCGAGCATTTTCTGTCATCAAAAACAGAATTTTAATCATCAAAAAGGGGACATCAAACGAAATCATTACACTGTAACGTGTAAGGAAAATATAATGAGCAACTATTGAATCTATAAGAAATTTGAAAACGGCAGCAAAAAAATCTCTTGCAAAACAAAAACGCTTCCTTTGTATTACATTTCACTGAAGCTAATTTTTCTCTTCTAATACCTAAATATAGAACCTCACTTTATGTTACTTTCAAGAACAGATAACTAAAATCATTAGCTACTTGTTGACGTCTTTCTCATCTTTTACAAGTTTTACTGCCTGTTTACGTCAATAGATCATCCTTTTAGAATATCTGCATAATTTTTTGACCGAGAGGGAGAAAAAGAGATGAATTACTGTCTTGAAAGTACAACAACTTTTTTTTGCTATAAAATATTTTCAACCTTTCAAACTTATTTGATATAAATATATTATATTATATAAAATGTAATGTTGACAGCGAATTCGGCTCCTAACTTTTATCGTCTCAAATAACAGTAACATTCTGATTCTACTGAACAGAATCAAAAAGTTATTTAATTGAAACTAAAATTTTCAACAGACATTCAGCTGAACAACTCTCCAAATTCTATTTTACAACAGACTCTGCACAGTCATAAATTATTTTTATTAGGTTCAAACAACTTTTCTTCTTTCTTTTCTACACACCCACTGCTGACGATAACACTTTAATCTATGGTACACATTGAACAAGGCAATAATACAATTATACTTATTGCCATCTCAAAATGATTAAACAGTTAAATTTCCGTTTTTTTCTAAATATTTTCAATTTGTTTTTTAATCTGAACAAACTGCATTTTCAACCACACAGCTGTTTCGTTTTCAGATCATTTAGACTAAACTGAAAAGGTATGAAAACACGTTATATACAAATATGATATTATATAACTTTAAGCATTAGAGATCATAAAATTATTGTTAGTGCGATGAATAGACCAATTAGTAAAATATCAAGTTTAGGTCCTAACGTGGCTTCATCAACTGATGTGGTAGTCTCCAATGACAAATCAGATGTTGTCGTTGTCACCGATGGTGTTGATGATGTCAGGCCAACAGTAGTTGTACGTTGCAAATTTGGAGACATTTTGGCGAATCGATATGTTTCAATCTCCTTACAGGCGATTGGCCATCTCAAAATGATTTTTATGATGTTATGCTAAATTAACTTTTGACCGTAAAACTATTTATACCGAAATAGGAAAGAAACAAAAAAGTGAATGGTAGAACCGCTATAAAAAAGTACTATAAAATTCTCATTTCCATTTCATGTATCTGAGTCTCTAAGTTGTGTACTTCAAGCGCCAGTAATGCTGATTATAGCGATGACATAACAGCTGCAGTTACATCAACAACTTACTTGGAAATTGCCCCGGTGTCTAAGGCCATATGATGCATTGAACCAAATGCCTTTCGAGTTACGTTCAGCACTAAATTTGCTGTGTCAAGACTGCACATATGCGCTATGACTGGCAGATCACAGTGCATTGAACATATAACATACCTGTAAAAAAAAAAAGCTAAAGGTATTATTTTTTTATCGCCTTTTTTGTTGGTATATAGATTTTTTGGTGTCAAAAATTATGTTTGTGCCGAAAAAAGTCCACTGCCGACTTTTTACTGAGTTGTTTCAATGAATTACTACAGTGGACTGAGACTAAAAAGCTCCATAATTGTGGCGCACTAGCAGTTTAGAAAAACGACAGTAAATTTGTTACTCGCAAGATTCGTTCAGATAACGCTCAGCATCTGAAGAGTCACCACTGAGTGCAAGATGACGGAAATTATGCATCAATGAATTGACGGCACGATGGTGTGGTGTACAGTGTTGAAGACATTGTTTGGATACCGCACGATTTAGCTTCGCAAGGCATCCGAATTTCGCTTGAATTTCTGTAACGTAGAGTGATTAGACATCAACAAGAGCGTTGTTTCGGCTGTCACTATCACTTTCCTCGCATCTGTCAGTTAGGCATTTTGAAATCTAAAAACTGAAACAATTTGGTGTTGTGTTAACCGACTAACCTTTGTAATAGTAAACACAAAAATGGTCAATAACAGTTGAACTTCTCGCCAATAGTTCCAGCATATAACCATGTGGACACGAAGCATAACAATGTTGAAATACGTGGTATATTCTAAAAACATTCTTGTCGTCACGTTACCCAAAAAATCGCATATGATGTCTTGTTTTATGCACAGTGAACAACTTAAAAGATATATGAACTGATATTTCAATTTATTTTCATTGATTAGACTGTCACTTACCGACAAAAACCCTTTAGAAATGTCGCATTTGAAAAAGCTATTAACAGTTCATTGTAGTTCAAATTTAGTAGTGTTGCCGAATCCGTACCTTCCAACTGAGAGCGCAACGATGAAGCAAAATCGAAAGCACATTGGCCTACACAAGACTCACTTGTAGCTACAGATTCTGGCCTCAAAAGAGAAAAAAATAAAAAATTACCTGTTAATAGGTACAAGAAAAATGTTAAAGCTTTTTGTTTAATGTATCATAAACATTTTTCTGATTATTTATCGACATGAAGTGCTTGTTTAATATATTTGCTGCTTGAAAAAATTTTATTAATCATTAAGCTATCATCAGTTGTTCATAATTTGCAAACTGTATTTACTTTTTGAATAATAATGTTAGTTGGCATACTTAAATCATGGAAAGCATCCGCTTCATTTGTCAAGAAAGTAGTTCCTCTTCCTAAGTATTTTTATCAGATATCGTTCACTTACTTAAGAAATATAAACTTTGATGCTTTAGGAAAGTATCCCACATATTTTCATACGGCTATTTGATGATTTTACGCCAATGTCGAGCAGTTCCAATATGCTGTTGCACTGATTATTGCCCCACTCATCATTGTTCGCAAATAAGGTTAACAAAATGTACCATTTAACAATCAACTTTAACCATTTTCAACGCTCGATACTTAAACGGTAGTTTGAGAGATCAAACACTAACAGACGAGGTTTCAAGCAACTGTACATCTGTGTCGTTCAAGCGCACAGTTCCATACAGCTTCCACCAGAATACTCTCCAAAAGCGACAATTTGTTCTAAGAAGCAATGTGGAGAAACTGTACAACCCACAATTTTGTAAAATTAGTAATATAATGAATTAGTTATTGTCAGAAGACACAAGGATAAGTGAAACGTAAGGGTTAAGAAGGTCACGGCAGAAAAAGCAAGAAAGCCAACAAGTCTAAAAGGAATTCAAATGATACCCAGCAAAACTTCTTCAAAGCTCAGTGACAAAGCGGTATCCGAATGAGAAACTCGCCATTAATACAAGTTCTATCTAAGACCTAGCCACTGGGCAGTGCTGTCAGAAAAAAAAGGAGGAAAATTAGAATAGTTGTTTTACGACAAAAGTCTTTTTAACTCTTAATGCCAGCAGTACACAACGTCTTTGACGTCGTAATATCTGACTTAGAGTTTAATTTTCTTTTTCTGCTGTCTTTTGAGATTATATTGCAAACAGTTACCAAAATCTTCAATTGAAAGAAGAAAACTGTGACATCTTTTTGGAAAAATTGTTTCTGGAAAAAAAAAGCAAAATGAAGAAGAACAGACAGGAAAAGGTACTAGTTTTTTATGGTATTCTCAAATAAAAATTTAACTGTTTCTTTCTATTCTTTTGTTTATTTGTGACTTAGTAATAGAACTGTTCAGTTACTTTATTGTTAGTTAAGTAAGAAAAAAAGAAAACTCTTTTTACTTTTGACTTTGATAAAAGCACAAGTATTTTTAGCTCAATCCACATTCGTTAGTTATCGTGCTTTACAAAAGTAATTAAATTGCCAAACGCTCAAAAGGTAGTACTTTTAAATACGTCAAGTACAATTCAAACAACATTTAACAAAAGCGAAAAACCAAATTTTTTTGTAGTAAAATTCAGAAATTAAATTGTAGCATTTTGACATACTCATTAAAAAAATATTAGGCTGCTCCCAGCTTACCTTTTACTTTTACAGAAAACCAAAGAGCAGCTTATTATTTTTTCTGTCTATATACTGCAGGCTAAGTATTATATTTTACAAAGGTAATTGCCTTTCCATCTTAACTGTTTTTTTTTCTAGAAAATTATTTAGTTGAAGAACATAAATGCTATATTGAGTAAATAAGAAAAGTTTGACTCAGTTTGAAGAATAACCACTAAATAGTTGAATAATTAAAAGATTAGATTTCTCATTATTAGCGGCAACAAAACAATATAACCTATCGATGAGAGATTTAATACATCTAGGATTGGTTTATGGAAATAAAAACGGTGGCAATTTAACACATCTGATGATACTTTTTGTCATCAACAGAGGTTTTGCTCTATTCATCGGTTCTTCAGACTAAAATATCTTGGATTCTGAACACACTAAACAATCAACAATATGCTATTCTTGCTAATGATGATTGTTATCAGTTGTACAACGTTGTACAATGATGATTATTATCAGTTGATTGTTATCAGTTGTACCATTATCAGTTGTACAACAGCACAAAAATTTTGGTTAGTCGATGAAAATTCTGTATCCCGCTTTTCCACCCATTGATCTCTTGTCCTCCGTTTCTGTTTTTTCCCTTTCCCATTTCGATTCCTTTCTATCAAATTTAGGTCGTAATTTCAACTTATTGGGCATAGCAAACAAAACTGACTAAAAAAGCCACCTTGAAGGAAAACAGCCAGCCGTGAATAGAATTAAAAGCTAATCAAGAAAAAATACATGAATAACAGATAACAACTCGTACAGGTAAAATTGTATTCGCATTGGCGTAAACTAATGTTTATTCATTTAACACAGTCATAGTGAGATTTATAGACAAAAAAAAAGAAGATATGTTCTTTTTTTAGTTAAAAATTTGTTAATCTAACAAAAAAAACTAAAAAAAAAATCTTTTTTCTGGATTTATTAAAAATTGTTTCATAAAAATATGGGTTCGGCAAAAAGAAAGACGAATAAATTGCCTTGTAGAGGAAAAAAGTAAAGATACCTGATGTACAAGGAAATCTGCTTTTCATCTATTATATTTATACAAAAATTTTGCTGAGGTTTTTCACGCTTCCTTTTTTTTTCTGATCAGTTGCAAAAACCATAAGATTAGAAAATTTTTTTTTAGTTT